TGAAGTCCACAGTCTGCCCTAGCAATCACATAGCCTGTCAAAGCCATTACCTGAGAGAAGGGGACCCCTAAGTAAGAGCTCGGAAGGCAATGAGGGCTCTGGCAGCACCAAGGCCTTGGCTCTAGCAGAGTAAGGCAGGCCCATCAAGGCAAAAATGTACTCTACCACATAGCCTAGCAAGACTGGAGGGAAGCTGCTTACATAGAAATGTAGTTATCAAATAAGGCCACAAAATAGAACCTGGCAGCAGCGGTCCTAGGTTAGAATTGGAGAGAAATACTCAGTTGAAAGAGAAAGATGCACTTGTATAACCACGACCTGCTTGGAATCCCCAGTGGAAAACAGCCACACGCTAGAAGAAGGAAGGAGGCCTTATAGCCTGGCCATTGCTTAAGCCTCAACATCTGCTTGGGGGACGGCTGCTATTCAGATGGCATCAGTGCTGTGTGCACGCTCTGAGCATGCCCCTGCAAGGGACAGACAGCTGAACTTGGCCTTCCTCGCAGGCAGGTGCTCACTCGCTTCTATGATTTTCACTATCAAAGAGAGCTTCAAGGTGCCGCAGGCACTTACTGCACAAGTGACTCCTTTCTGGCAAAGGCTGCAGCAATTTGGGCTGGAAGCGGCGTCAGGCTCATTACCACATGAGAAGGAAGCTTGGGAGCTGCCAATTTCTAGTGAAACCTTTGCCCTCACTTGGCTGCTTTGCCACCGTGTGCCAGATGTTCAGGGAAGCGAGCCCCAAGCAAACAAAAGCGTTCCCCGTAATTCAGTCACGATGCGCAAAGAGCCACCCTGCAATCGGCACTGCTGCCATTTGGTACTGATGGGTTTGCATAACTGGTGCTTTTCAGTTCATCCCTTTACTTCAGAAAAGCAGGGTGGATCACAACATGTGGACAATGTATCTTGGATAAAACAGTTCCAGAGAGTGGATAATGTTCTGAGCGACTGTCCACGAGTACTCCAGAGCTAGGGCTGTCCTAACAAGCAGAGGAGGGATGCCTGGAAGTATCAGCAGATCTCACAGCAATGACTGCAAGTCAGCACTGCCAAGCTATTTACCTGCAACACATGCATTTATTTTCTCCTTCAGTTTGTTCTAATACCTCTCAGTGATCAAAATCAGATATCTAGGGTTTTAGGCACCTGTGCCCATTCACGTTTTTCTTCTTATATACAGGGCTATACACTTCAGTGATACATTACTGCCCCAACTTAGTACCTATCTGGCAAATTCAAGTGCCAGAGCATCCAGAACGCTGCGACAGAGGCCACCGTTATTCTGATACTGATCCAGCATATTTACCCAATTTGCCCTTTTCCTAGCTTAATCTCTCTCAACTTGTTTTTTTTTTTTTTTTTCCCCTCCCCTCCAGATATTTCTATTCCAGTGTGGAATAGAAAGCAGCTGAGCCCTTACTTTTTCTTTGGTATAATGTCCAGTGCTCCTCTTTCCGTGCACAGCACCTCGCAAGTCACCCGAGATCATACAGATCTCCATGAGGCTGTTTCACCCTGCTGAGCATAACACACCAAATCCTCTGCCTTACTGTTTTGAGGCTCCTTTGGCATCACACTTTTTCTTTCTTTATCATGTCTCCTGAAAATTTTCTTCTCCCTATAGAGCAAAGTACTTATCCCTTCCTCAGTGTGCAAGTGTTGCCAAAATACTAACATAACACAGAGCAAATCCCTCTCAGCTGCACAGAGAATAAGCTTATCTGACCACTGACCCTAGCAATAAATAGCCACTCGTCTTTCATTTACTCCTTCTCAGATAAATTCCCTTTGATTTCACTTACTCGAGAGCAGACTGAGCAAGGATCGCAGTATTCAGCAGAGAATCTCCAAGCAAGCAGGTCCAGGTAGATTCAGTTCAAGTGATGTCTCAGGGAAATCTAAACTCCTCATATCCGAGGTGTGATTATATGACACCCACATGCAGTTGCCATCAAAATTCCAAAGGCAAAGGAAATAGCAGAAAACAGAATTTGGCCTATTTTATTGAGGAATGCATCCACTTCCACAGCAGTCACATTCTTTAGCAGGATGTTTCCCGTTCCCTTATCTCTGTTTTGCGGTCAGACTCCTGTTTGCGACAATTGGTTTGCAGTGGGGATGACATCTTGCAGAGGGACGGGCCTAACCTCAGATAGAGAATAAGCAACAGTGGCAGAGCCTTTAGGTCAAACAAGTGTCTCCAGTGGAATCCGGGAAAGGAAAGAATTCCCTTTGCCCTAGAAAACCAGCCGAGAAACAAGCTCTCCACAGAGAGCACTGGGCAGGCATTTGTCATCTTGAACTTACCACACACTGATTAAAAATACTAATGCTCATTACCAGAACAAACAGACGCCTACAGCTTATTCCCATGGCACTATTAGCTCTCCACAGGGTCAGTTCTTCTAGCTAAGAGACAACACTTCTTGCATCAGTCTCCAATAGAAAAAGCAGCTGTGCTAGCCACCTGCTTGCAGCTAAAGCCAGCAACAGTGGAATAAAATTTTAGCCTCAAATAGAGAGAGACCATGCTAGAAAGGACAAGACAGATGTTTTCCAGTCAATTGGACTTTATCCTGAAGTATTTATTGAAGTGTTTCAGCAGCCTCAAAATCTGTAATGATTTTGTTTGGGAACGCATGTTGGGTAGGGTGTCAAAGGATTGAAAAATAGGCAGAAGTAGTGCCTTGCCTTAAGAAATAAAAAAGGGAGGAGATGATTTATAATTTCAGTTCTCAAAATAGCAAACTTTCATTACCAAACCATTAGAATTTATTTCCACAAGAAAATAACTATGATAGAGTAGAAGCAAGATATGTACTTGAGTTATTCAGTAGTGACATTCTGCTTTCACAAACATGCTGAGAAAAACTTGCATATAACGAAACTACCATGACATGAGTTCAGAAGCGGCTAAAAAAATTACCCAGAGGGAACTATCAGTGGATTCAGTGCAGAAATAGATGATGTATCACACTGGGGTCTACCCAGGATCCAATTCTTTTCAATGTTTTCATCATCAACATGGATGTTGGACTAAAAAGTATATTTGTTAAATTGCAGAGGACATGAAGCTGGAAAGAATGGCAGGTATGTTGGAACATTGTACCAAAGAAACTTGGCAAACTGGGGAAATGGTTGGGAAGAAAAAAACTGGTAGGGAAAAGCACTCTGGCAGGAAGGACCAACTGCACAAACGCAGGGTGCAGAGCTGGGGAGGCAGCAGCTCTTCAGGCTCCCGGAGAGAGGTCCAAGTGGATCACAGCTCAACTCCAGCCTTCAGCCGCTGTGGAGACGGCAAACACAACAGCAGATGTGTGAAGAACAGGGACTACAAGGGTGGACCTTTGCTCTGTTCTATTTACAGCGTGCTGTACACTTCGGGGCACTGCTCTTTAAGAAAAAGATGAATCAAATGCAGACAGTCACAACGGTAACTTTAATAAGAGGTCTGGAAAACATCACCTAAAAGAACTGAAAAAGAAAGTGTTTCAAAGAATAGAAGTCTGAGGAAGCAACTGCAAGCACACAAGCAACCTGCAATGCAAGAAGCTCTGCACTCTACAAGGCTGAGCAACAAGACATTCAGATAAGATCACAGCAGCAGCTCTCCCCTGTCTTCTACCATATTTTAACAAAGTCCTTGCTCACCACGCTGCGCTCTTTGTACTGCCTCCCATGACCGCAAGCATGAGGTGGCACTGAACTAGTTTTGCAGTAAACCACTCCATCCTTGGACTTCAAACACCGGCAGGTCCTACAGTTGCATTCAGGTTGCACAGCACTGACATCCTTTGTATATTAAATACAGGCCTTTCCCATGCCCAAAAGGAAGAATAGGAACACGACACAAACAGCAAAGAAAATAACCTTAAAGTCAATTATTCATGCTACCAAAGCCCACTTGCACTTGCCCACAGGCTAAAAGGTAACTTTATCTGCCTAATACCAGGAAAATAATTGGAAGGTGGTGCCAGTGTGAGGCAAGAGGAAGGTACAAGCCCTAAGGGCATCTATATAACAGCCGTATACAATTATAGTTGTAGACTGTTTTCATTCTCTATGTGGTGAGCTGCCAACCTCCTGTCTTGGACTCCAAACACAAACATAAAATCCCATTCACCAAACATTAATCTATTTATCTGCTTATATTCTGACAAAATCATTAACAAACCTCTGAAAACAGAAATGTAAGTTTTCTAGAACAGTACTATATCCAAACAGCAGTCACTTAATGACAACAGGAAACAACAAACCATCCACTGACAAGCAGCGAGTGCTCCCTGCGTGCTTGTTTTCAGTATGGGGAAACAGAACACCCTGAGTACTAACATCCTCACAGTACTTCACAAGGGCACTAAGGTGGGACAAAATATCTATATGGGGGAAAGTGATGGACTCACCATTTCAATGTTTTTAAATTAGACATCATACCTTTCTTACAGGTAATTTCACCCAGCATAAATCACGGGACTCAGCAGGGCAGTAACTAAACAGTAACTAAACAAAATATTGTGGTTTATGCTATTCAGGAGGTCAGAGTTTGCAGACTGCAGCCTTTTCAACCAGTCTTCCTGTTGCTGTCTCCTCCTCCCCTCCTCTGCCCCTGCCCCGTTCTCCCCAGCTCCCAGTTCCTCCCCTAGCCACTGCCCTCTCCTTCCTCTGCTCTTGAACCCTAGGAGCCTGTGAGACCCATGCAAAAGCTGGGCCTTTCAGGTATTCTTAAAATAGATCAAAATTAAATGCATTGTTCGGTAGCACATGCTACATCATCATTAATAGAAAGTCTTATCTGCGATAGGATGTTAGGTTACAGGGATGCTTTTTTAAAACACGCCTTATTAAAATTGAAGCCCATGGAAGTAAAAGGAGCCTTCTTTTAAATGGGGCAGGCATGCAGAGAAATTCTCCTCAGATCAAAACGTGGCAAATAACTGCGATATCTGCCCACCACTTCTAATTAAATGATCTTAATAATGCCACATGAGTGTTCTTACCACTTTCTCCTTGTAAACAATGTATTTCAGCCACTTGAAATCCTGCCATTTGAATCCCGCCAGAACAAACAGTGAATCCTTCTCATACTGCTCCATTTTCTGGATTGCACCTTCAGGATATGTGATCCGGAGAGTTGTCTTGCCACCCACATCTTTTTCAAAGCCCTTTACTGGAGCCGAGTTCAGCCTGCAGGGCAACCAGAGAAGACACTGTCATGGATTCCCATCTGATGATCCAGCACTGCCGGTCCTGAGCTCCCCGGAGCTGCTATGGGAGCAAACGGAAATCTTGCGAATTTTCATTGCAAACAATTATCAAGTTTTATACCAAGTGGCAGCAGTTTAAATAAAAGCCATTTAAATTATTTGAGCAAATGTAATGCAAACCACTTCTGCACTTCCACCCTTGTGATTTAAATCAGGTTGGAAGCTTTGGAAAAAGAGATCGAAGAATAGCATCTATACAAATTTAGGTTAAAGTCATAGATTAAGGATTAACATTTTAACATCCCATCACTCCCAGGATATCTGAGTTCTGCAAGACTGTGATGAGAGCATGGAAGTGCTGCAACCAAGGATGCAATTCAAGCTGACTGAAGGCTTATGCCCTTACTCCCAAACAGCTTTTGCACTGCTTGCTTTACTAGCAGAAAGATTTGTAAGGGGGCTGAACAAATGAATAACTTTCAAAATATGGAACATTTTTCATGTGGTTTTATTCCCCAAACTGGCCCATCCCTGCAGTGCCAATGCGAAGGAAGAGGCTGGGCTGCCCAGCTGGGATAACATCCAGCAGCACCGCTGTCTCCCTGGCTCTAGATCGCTGAGTTTCTGCTGCGGAACTGCACCCTGCTTTGAAAACACTCAGGCAGAAATAGAGCCTTACCCCTGGGAACACTGATTTCCGAGGGAATGTTATGTGTTTAGCCATGTTTTTATTAAGACTCTCCTCAGGGACAACTTTTTTTCCGCCTTCAAAAAACAAACTGCTCTGGTGTTAACAGTGATTATGGTTTTCATGACATTAAAGTTATTCAGAACCTCTTTGTACACGTAGGCCAGTCTATTCAATACTAGAAGTCCAGAGCTCAGGAAACTTCAAGTAACTTGGAATACAAATCTTGCTGACATCGAACAGCAGCCCCTGATGGAACAGCACTGCCTGCTTGAATTATTGCAGTCTTCTTGACTTGGGATAGTTCAATATACTGGAAAGTGCTTATGGACTGCAAATTTTGTCATGTAGGAATGTTAATGAGGATCTGGATTTGTCTTTTCCAGCCTGGGTAAGCATTTTAGGTGGGAAACCTTTTAGCAGAAAATCCAAATATACAATTAGAAATTCTATTCACAATTAAGGAGAATAAATTCTTACGTATTTCTAGTAAATGGAAAGCAATTTAAGAATCAATACAACCCCAGTTTATTCAGGAGATGAAGTCTTTTTTTTAACTCTATCCTATAGTTTATATCCTCTCACTTTGTACCATACCCTAACTTCAAGGCACCTATACCTGTCTGCCTCCAAAACCAGTGCTCCTAGCAAGTCTGATCACTAGCCTTTTTTTTTCTGGGCTACACGTTCAGACATAGGTCATCTTTACTATAAACACAATTTACATTTCAAGACACTATCTTCCAGGGCTAGATGACCCTACAAGCTACAAAAGCACTCAGCCCTCTTGGAAACAGACAGAAATACAACTAAGTACAATGTAAAGAGTGCTGGTTATATATCTATACATGGTTATCAGGAGCAAGGCAAATCCCTGCCTCATTCCAACCAGGAGTTTCTGATATACACTGGTTTTTACCATGTACAGTCTATTCTATGGAGGCATTTCTGCTCGTCAGAGCTGATTGCTGCAAGTAGCTCCTGCTAGGAAGGAGTGGGACATCTGGAAACAGTGGCTCCACTCAAGTCTCGTAATACCCAGTTAAAGACAAAAAAGAAAGAGCAAACTTGCTCCAAGCTGGTGCAGAATTGTCAAAGCTGTCCTGATTACCACAAGATCCACATTTGCTGCTGCAATTAGTGATCTTTACATGGCAATGCACAATGCAGCAGAAAAACTCCATGCACTCCTAGGTCACTGCTTTGTCCCCAGCGTGTACTATACTCTCTCCTTTAAAAACCTCACCTCCTACATCACAGGAGTCGTGCAACCCATCTAAAAGGTTCAGCGAAAGGCTGAGCCCTTGCTCAGCCTTCATAAAATTAAAGGAAGCAGGTGGACACATTTAAGAAGAAGTCTCCACTCATCTCCTCAGTCCCACATACAAGCACCTGGCTTCATTTAACCTTTACATTTGACTTTTCACTCCTTTATCCATCATTCAACAAGCACAGGTGCTTAGTTGCCCTCTTATCCTCTCAGCTTGCAACCTGACTTAGATTTACTAATGTGGAGAGAAAGGGTTGAGCTTTTATTTAGAATCTAAATTGTAGACCTTCTGATGTAAATCTTAGTGGGTGGCTTAGTACAAATGGATGGAAACCATTCTCCTGCTACTTTGTGAACAGTTGGAGCCTAACAAGGGGCTATAAACTGACTGACTTCGACATATTTTAACTTGGTCCAAAGAACTGCAAATCACCAGATTATGGTGATTAGGAAGAGCCCTTTGCTACTCACTGACAGTGGGATGACTTGGGAGAAGGGCTGTAAAAGCTTTCTCCTGTTCTGAACAGTCGCCCCCGCGTCCTGAGCGACACAGCGAAGCAAGGAACAGCTCACAGGAAAAAATGACAGCAGAATCTGCGTGGTCTTTCTGTCCAGATTACTGCCCACCTCACGTACGTTGCCAGAAGACGAGACGATGATTCTGCCTGTGCATGTGTCCCATTCATTCCTCGGTGCCCAATGTAAGAGAAGGAGACCAAGCTAAATGTCACCTTCTGTGTACTTCAAATTCTTGCACTAATTCCTTCTTTCTTCCACCTTAGCTAAGAATTTGCCATTTGCTACCACATTCCATGCTTGACTAAATTTCAGAGAGATGAATCAGTTTTATTTCCTTTGGTATGATATCAGTTATCTCACTAAGGAAAAATACCAGCTCAGACTATGTCAAACCAGTTTTGATGAAGTTGCACTGCAGTTTACCTCACTTTTCTCATTTACCATCATAATATTTTGTTACTCTTGTTTCAGAATCTGCTATAAAGCTTTGCATTTTATTCAAGTCAGATTAATGGGTCTGACTCCCTAGATCACATCCCCCCTCCCTCCTACACACACTCTCTTTCTCGCTCTCCATTAGTACAGGTATTATGTTTGTTAACCTCCAGTCACCCAGAACACCTCCCTCACTTGACAGATTTATTACTAAGAGTTATGACTAGACCTGTGATTTCACATATCAGCACGTTTTTCCAGGATTCTGAGATGGCAACAATCCAACTCTGGAGTGAAAGCAGAGTCCAAGCTTTGGCTGTGGTCATTTCCACTTCCACACCAATCTCTTTCTTTTACTCAGCTTCATCATTCACAGTGAAACTGAGGCAATGCTTTCATGACATTCAGGGCACAATACAGAGGTGTTTAATCATTACTGTATCTTCACTCATGGAGGCTTCCCGAGATCCTATGCTGCATAGTGCTCAGTTCTTCCTTTCCTAACTGAGAACTGGAATTCTGAGGAATGCTGCATATGTATGATCAACGGTGCTTGCTTGAACTATCTAGGGGATGTATTTGAGGGCAGATCTAGCATTATATTTCACTGGTTCACCACCTAAGGGCATCACTAAGGAGGCAGCTTTTCGAAAATGTGCTCCAAAATGGAGGTGAAAGCGAGATCATAGGAGATAAGACATTCCCAAATAGTTGTGAAAAATGATTGAGAAGAACGCCCTTTCCCTTCAACACAGTCATCACCAGTAACTTAAATGTTTGAGTGCTTTTGTTTTTTCCTCCATCTTAGTTAACATGTCCATACTAATATTTATCATCACTAGTGAACACTTGATCTTTGCCTGTGTAGAACACCTTCTGATATGGAAATTAAAAGTATGAGAAGAAAACTGCAATGCCAAAGACTCACCTGACAACAACATCATAGTCATCAATTTTTAACCCCAACGACTTATTTGCAAGTACTCCACCATTTCCCACAATAATACATCGTCGACAGCTGAGACTGTGGAAGAAACACATGGAAGAGGTGATTTTTGTAATATGACTTCAAACATACAGACCTGCTTATAGTTAGTTCGTAACTATCCAAGAATTGCAGGAAACCTTTTGGAATACTAAGAATTAAGGGGAAGACAGAGATACACTTGCTCCCCAGCTCACCCCATCGTGCCTGGGCATTACATGGAATAAACTTCTTTCAACACTTCACACCACGCGTGGCTTAATGAGATGAGCTGTCAGGACAGGCAGCTTCTCTCCCCCCACACCCGAGTCTGATGGGCTCAAATCAAACCCATCTGTTTACTTAAAGCTCCTCATTATCCATTTAGCATTGAAACAACAATAAACTAAATGCTAAGGAAGGAAGTCCTCTTTCTAAAGCAATTTTCTGAGTGCAGACAGACCTTGCCAGGTTATCTGGCGTATGCTCACCTTGTTAGTGCAAAATTGCTGCAGTTATCAAGAGACTTCAAGAGACGGAAGAACACTAAATGGACAGAAAAAGGAACCTCCTCCTCCCACTGCATCCAGTAGAAAACACACAGAGACATAATGGGCAAGGAAGGGGAAGAAAAATAACCTTAATTAACAAAGAAACAGAAAGAAAATAAAAGAGAATGGTTTCTTGTGTAACAGTGAGTCACAAAAACTCTCTGCAGCGGATGTTAAAAAGTGATTTCGATTTGAAGACAGAGAGGACCTCTTTCCAGCCATCTAATCCCAAACGCAGCTGGTTCTTCTGGCAACGTGCCTCCATCTCTGGTAGTTCACTGAAGGAATACGTGTCTGCAGAGCCTTTTTCGGAAAGGGTCCAAGACAATCTGTTGTTTGGAACAGATCTCCGGGCTAGGCGGCCTTCCTGGTCCCAGGCACAGCTGACTGGTCTCTTCTGTGCTCTCCTCTGGCCTTGCTGCGATCAGTCTGAAGAGCCAGCAAGAGGGAAGCTCTGCTTATGTGAGGTCTGTCTTTTCAGAGCAGGGCTGTGGATTACACTTTAAAAACTCAGCTAAGCCACTGAGGCTTAGCCCGTTGACAGAACCATTAGCTGGAGATATGCATGAAATTAGCGGTACCCAAGAAATGCTCAAGAACAGCTTCCCAAGCCTAAGTAAACCTGTGCTTTCCAAAAGAGATCTCCTCGAGAAGATAATTAATCCAGTGCTCGTGTCTCTAAGACCAAAGAGCTGTGGATGCTTGTGATAAAAAAAAAAAATGGGCAATAGAAAAATAACCTCAGACAATGGTACAGGAAAGAAAAAAAAAGTTATAATTCTGGTGACAGGAGGAAAGCAAAGACTTGATTCGAGCAGCCTGCACGTTGTGGCAAGGAGGGAAAGGAAAGAATCTGTCCCAAATATAAGCACCTGAGTGACAGCCATTACAACAGCTTTGTCAAAAACTTCAAGGAAACAGGGCTGCAAGAAGGGAAAAAAGGCATAGCTCATAGCTTCAGCTAGGTGAAGCTTCAGATGACAACAGGCTGTTCGGATGATTACAATAAGCCGGTGTGATCTCCTAAAGAACAGACTGCTGGGTGAAACACTGGAATTTCTCTCTCCGGTTGTCTCTGAGCCATAACTGCATTTAAAAAAAATATCCTGTTGAAATTCAAAGGCTACAAGTGATGGAGACTCCCCTCTCTCTCTTCCCTTCTTATTGTTATGGTGCTAACTTCTACCAAGTTTAAATACAGATGTGCTCATTTCAGCCTCAAACCACTTAATCGCATTCTTCCCCGTTCTGCTAAATTAAAGCACCATCTACTGTCAGCAGCCCCGTCCACATCTGCATGTGATCCACCCACCGACAAGCCAGTGTGTGTAAACATCTGCCTCCGGGCGGATAATCAGTCACGGGACTGGTGAGCATCAGCCTCCACATATGAGGCAAAAGAACCAGTTCTGCCAGCCAAAGCCCTTCCATCAGCCTCTCTTAATGGCCCTGTTCCACTAGAGCACTGGAAGACTCAAAGTCCCTTGTAAATATTCTCTTGACCAAGTGGAGCAAGTTCCTCACATCTCTTACGGGATGGCAACTCTCCTAGATCTTGAGTCACACTTGCAGGACCTCTCTGAACCGTTTTCAACTTCTCCCAAAATTTCTGAAGCACTGACTCTGCAACACCAGTATGCGGAGCTAATGCTGCTCAGAGCAGGGTCCCTTTTATACAGAAATTTTATATATCTTGGCTTGATGTTCTTTTTATAGTCATTGGTTTGCAGAACATAATCCTCACATTATAAGCATGACCTGTGTTCTCACCTCTGAGATGCCAGGCTTTCAACTTGGCTCCAGTAAGGAATGAGCTGATCCAAAAAGGTCCAGACTGATCAGACCCTCCTACTCCTTTCTGCTCTGCTCTTTGGCTGTAGCAAACTTTTCTAGAGTAATTTTACATTTCCTGCAGATCACTATTAACCATTGAGAATACTTTTCAGTGAGATTAAACCAGAAGTTATCACTACAGAGTTAATTCCCAACCCTGACAATAACATTTTAAAACAGTGTAGCATATCAGCTTTATAGGAACAGGCTATATCTACAGTGACATTTGACTAGGCAAATAACAAACACTTATCTTAAAAAAGGTTGCCTTTTAATAAGGTTGCCTTATTAAAAGGTTGCTAGTTCAATTAAAAAATATTACATCTGCATGACAAGATTCCATTTCCATAAAACCCAGGCTAACTAGCATCGATTATGCTGCCATTCTCACTGTGTTCCAGATCAATTTTTCCAGGATATTCTTCTGTAAAACCAAGCTAATCTACCAACAGCTACCTCTGTCATCATACATATTTCTTTGGGCATGGCACAGCATTTGCTGTTCTACCCAACATTTCAAAAAGTGTTACAAAGCAAACATTAACAGTAGAAAGAACTCCTTACTTAACTCTTTAAATACTGGCCAGTACTTACTGACTTAAAAATATATAATACTATCATTTAATATCCTCACGGTTACTGATAACAATGCCCTAAATATTTCATAGTTGTAGCAAAAAGGGACAGCCTCACATTTCTCTAAAAAGAGAATGAAACAAATAGTTAACCAAATCGTTCTGCCTCTTTTTGTCATAACTGAAGCTGCGCAAAGATGGCTATTACATCTGAACCACTGTTATACCCTGCTGGTCCTGACATATTTAAATATTTCCTCTTCTTTCTTTAAACCTGCAGAGCACAGATTTTTCACTGGTATCTTATGGACACTAAGGCCTTATCCTTGATCTTCTAATTGCTTGCTCTTCTCACAAAAGTTCTTTTCATACTGTAATCGCAAAGCCTGATGCCTCTGCTGGGCACCCAAAAGGCAGTAGTCAGGTGCCAAAGCCATTCCTCAGATGCACATGATGAGGACATGGTCAGTCTTCAACTCTGCCTGGGTTCTACATGTCAAGTACAGAGCAGTCAGGAATTTTCGGATCATCAGGACAGAAGCAGAGAGGAGAGCTACCCTAGCTTCCCCAGCTTTGGCAACCACCATGTGGAACAGTGAGAAGGCAGAAGACAACCAGACCCTGTTGCCACTGCAGAAGGGACACATCTGGCAGAGACATCAAGCACCTGAGCTCACATCCCGACCAGGACCCCTTCACCGTGAGCACAGGCTGGCGGCTGAGCGTGGCGCACGCAGCTGGCAGGGGCACCGCTGGTCGCAGGCAAGTCCCTGGCTAGAGACACGCACCGTGCGAGATCAGTTAATCAGCTCAATTGTTTCTCCCCAGAGACGTGCAAACACCTTTTTGCGTGTTTACATAGTATGTCAAAGCCGTATTTCCTTACCAGAAGTGCTCAAGTACTGAAGCACTTTGGACACAGCCCAGGTTCCAGTTTGCTACCAGGGTGGTATGAAGGCAGGTCGTGAACTTTCCCCACCAGAGCCCCCAAAGCCCTAAGCTGAGAGCCTGAGCCAGATGTGGAGCCTCTGACACAGATGCTTAGAGGGGTCTGAGTTCATCTACGTGAACAACGGGGATTCACACTGATCTTCTTGAACAACGTTGCACTGTAAACACGTGTATGCATTTATATCAATTGCTACTTCCTCTTCCTCTCCAACATCAAAGTGCTTTAGGGATTTGTTAGGGGAAAATAACCCACAAAGCCTTCCTTTAATAGAATTTCACAACTCTGGGGAAAGACATAACTGCATATTAAAAAAAAAGGAAAAAAAAAAGGAAAAAAAAGCCTCAAGGGGAACTGGTGTTCTGAGAGGCTTAGCAGGTGCTGGTTTGATCTGGCTGCTACTACTTGAAATGGTGCAGGCAACCTGAAGGAGAAGGAAACACAAACCTCCTCTCCTGCTCTGCCTATTTGTTCCTCATTCATCACTTTATGCGCTGTTTTAGCAAAGACATCTCAGTTATAAGCTCAAATTCACACTTTGTCTTCATCACCACATTGAAACAATATCAATATAAAAGACTGAATGACCATTTTGTGTATTTCCTGTGAAATTACAAGTCATCATCAGAGAGATTTAAACCGAAATTAATTTAACAGTCAAGTCCACATAGCAAAAGAGCTCAAAGACTAGAAACCAAGCCCTGAACAATTTGCAGAATGAAGAGCAGAAAACTGGAAGAGCCACTGAAAGATTCAGCAAAAATGTGAGGGATATTAACAGGCCTGGAAAAGCCAACAACAGGCAAGAGAACTCTGACACGTCACCGACAAGATGCCTTCTGCACTGGATTTATGGAGGAAGAAACGCTGGCACTGAAGGAAGAGGACCCCTTCTATAGAAAGTCCACTTGAGCTCCAGTGTTCCCCCAAAAAACTCAGACCTGAGTTGCAACTACCCTCCCAAACACAACTGCAACTTCCCCTGCCTCCTGCCTTGCAGTAGCAGCAGGTCCTGGAAGCAGTTCAGGAAGAAGGTGCCATAACAAGGAGACAGGAACAACAACTAAGAATGAACATCATCATTTGCACCCTGTTACAGACATGAACCACAGCATTTGTTCCCATGCCCTCCGGCTGCTGCTAGTCATTAACACATAATGGAGGGATTAGCTGCAGTGAGTTGGCAAAGCTGTTTTGTGGTAATGAAAGGTGTACGTGGAAGGATCGAGTTTGCCTCACTACAACACCACGTTGGTACGTTGGTACGTAGGTTGTGTTGGGAAAGGTACAGCGGGATGCCCTTTTGGCACAGGGATAACCAAGCAAACAAGGTCACCTCCAGGGCTGGGCTTCTGGAGGGGACGTGACAGTAGCATCTCCAAGGAGGAGCTTTGTGGAGGAGGCCAGGGCTGAAAGAGCTTGGGTGGGGACAGGACTGAAGGCTCTCTGCAGATCTGCCGCTTCTCTAGCACTGCTCTGACCTCACCTCCCCTGCTTCTCCCACCCTTCCCCCAGGAAGGCTGCGCTCAGCATGGGATTACATGAACATTTGCTTCAATAGGATCGCAAGTGCTCGCGCTCCCCACCCTCGCGGCCCTCTCCCGCCCAGGCCGCAATTCCCAGGCTGTGCCAGCACAACGTTTCAGTGGGAGGGGAGCTCTCGAAAACAGGTCACTGAAATGACCTAGGTTAGGAGAAAAACTTTCAAATTGGAATCATTTCAGTGACCCGATTTAGATTTCCCCCCTCCCTTCAAACTACAGCCTGAGAGCAGGAAGCAGCAGCAATGGTAACTTTTTAAACTGGCTTTGCTTAACTCCATGCTGTGGAGAAGCTAAATCTGGAGCTTTTTCCTACTAGGATCAACTTACTAGACTTCAGGGAGCCTAGAAGTGGCAGAGCTCATAAGACCTTCTAGTCTGACACAAGCCATTAAACACCAGCTCATTGTTCCTGCATGGAGGCAACAGCTTGTTCTTGCCAAAAGCATCCTCTAGAAAAAAACATATCTGAACTAGAAAGTAAAATAGAAGACTCTAACATTTCCTATGACTAATGTCCCTCACAGCTGAATTCTTCTCTCTCTCTTCTATTTGAATTGATCTTTTCTGCACTCCAAACATAAGGTCTTTTTTCAGCTCTCAAGTTCCCCTCCTGTTGTTCCAAGGGGTGGACAAACACAGCAGGGACTTTAACTAGAGATCAATAAAGGAGCGATGAGAACCTCTAGACCCTGTTCCTAGCAGAAAGGGCCACCATAGAGGGGAACTGTTGACTCTGCCTTTGGGCTTGAGATAACATAAAGATAGGCCCAACAGCTCCACCAGTTCTTCTGAAATCCCAAAGAGTTGTTGCTGTCAGCTGTAATTTGTGAAGCAATCACAGCAGAACCACCATCTGGGAAGCACACCTAAATCTTCATCTATGCTCAACTCATCAGTAAGGTTTCCAGGAGCAGCACTTAGATATCAATATCATCTCTTCCAGTGCCCTAAGCCCTCCTCTGAAATAACCTGTGTGCTGTAATTCCACCCGCCTACTACTTTAGGCTCTCCCTTCATGGCTTGCTACCCTAAGCCTTGCTTGTATCTTTCTCCCACGTCAGCTTCTATCTTTCCTCTTTCAGACCGCTCGCTTGGGACTACAGGAGATGTTCGGCTGTCAGCAGTGTATGCAGCAGTTAGAATCAAACAGACAAGGTGCCATCATGATCAAAGACTAGCTCAAGAGATGTAGGAAATGAGACTTCAGGTACCCTCACTTCACTTGAGGAAGGGAGCATGTGCTGCTCAGGGGACAGACATGTATGATGCAACCCATTTGTCCCACTGAACCGGGGAAACAATCTACAGAGATGACAGCAGCTACCAGCAATTCATTCACTCCTATCAACTCAGAAGGTATCCTTAACCCTTTTCCAAGGGTACTTGTGGTCTGCTTGGCCTCAGCTGAGCAGCCTGTAACATGGGGGTGCCAACATACGCAGGTAGCACAACTTCAACAGAAGCTCTGAGCCCCCCACCCTTGTGCTTCAGGCTGGTGGAGGAAACATGTGCTACACATGCAACATCAGTGCTTTGTATCTATCACAGAAGTTCCTGGGGGAACTGAGTTTCCCAAAGATAGCTGTGTGTTTACAGACACAGAAACTGAATTTTGATCCCGTAATACTTCTGAAATATGTTCCTAACATGCTGCTTAGTTCTCCTCCATATTTGGCATCTCAGGGGTTTTAAATATACAATATATTTCAAAGACCTGAGTGTTATAACTTTCCTACCTCTGCACCAAAAACATAAAGAATGAGAAAGCAATGTAAGTAGCTCATATAAGAGTAGCTATTTATCACAACCTTCTGGGAAATGACCCAGTAACCTCAAACAAACTCTGTCCAGGCCTCACAGAGAAGGTAAGCAGCAAGAGTCCGTAAGAGTCACTAAGACATGAAGTCCGACTGCAAGAATATTCCACCTTTCCTCTATATCATTAGCATTAATATCCTACGAATAAACTTCTGTAAGAGTCTATGGATTTTAAAATACATTAACATTTTAACCAGAGTTGAGATAAATGCCATATAGGTAAAGCGATTTTGCCTTTTGGACATAATTTCTCAAACAGATCCAAACTCCGAATCCTAATCCTAGCTGGCACTGCTGGCAATACCTACAATGTCCGATCTGCCTATACAATCTCAAAACAATTTAGATTAGCACATAGCTTGCAAAGAACTAAGAATAAACTTCCACGCTGAGAGAAACTCCCAACTCCAATTACAGTGGACAAGCTCTACTGACATGAGATGCGGATTGCTAGAGAAAGGCTAGAAAAGTTTATGAACTTGGTCATGGAAAAGCGAGCAGAAAGGAAGCTGGGCCGGGAAATTAAAACAGCATGTTTGGAAAGCAGGAGCTTTGTTGTTAGCCTGGGTTCAGGGAAGGACCAGTGCTTCAAAAGGAGCTGCACCAGGACTTTGAAAAGATCTCATGTCCCAGCAAAAGCCTCTGACAGCTTCTGAAAAGAACTATGTCTGATCCAGGAGGTGGCACTAAACCAAAACTGAAGGGCAAAGAGAAGGAAGGAAGGAAAAGCAAGGGTGGAAAAGACTACACATCTACCACTCTGAAGTTAATCATAAATACGTCAGGGAGTTTTTGAAGCAAGCTTAACAATAGCAGTATTAAAAAAAAAAAAAAAAGCTTCAATTGAAGTACCTCAGGCCGCAGCATAGCTGCTAGCACATCATCACACAGGCTTGGCCAACACAATCACACATTCCTGACTTAAGAGCGAAATATTAATAAAACATTGTTAAAACAAGCCAGTCCCTCCTTTCTCTCTAAAGGGGTTCCTATGATCTTGTTGCTTTGTCAGAGTAGCAAGAAAAGAATAACGCATTTATTGAAACCAGCTATCTGAAACCAGCTATTATTGAAACCAGCTATTGACTAATATGGTGACACCATATTAAATAAAAGCTTAGAAAACAGTTGAAAGTAAATGCTTTTTTTCTTCTGTTTGACCTGACAAAGGCTTCAAGAGCTTACAGACTGACTGCAAAGAGGACTCTGTTTTCAGCTCCTGACCTGGCCCTAAAGTACAGCCAATCTCTGGCAAAATTTATTTAGGCCATGTGGAAAGTAATCATTATTACCCCTTCTACTCTAAAAGGTCTCATCTTACCTGTCAAGAGCTGGAGTCAGGCGATAATCTTTGGTTGCTGACAGGATGGCTTTGATCAGATTATCTGGAGAGAAAGGAAGAAGGCATTAGGAAGAAGTTCTTAGTTGTAATGGAGATGAAAACCAAAGTGGTGTCAAGTAGTCTGAAGCTGTTACTCCGAGGAACTGTAACGAGGCTCATGTTAGGAGAAACACTTAAACTTACAAATTTCTATTTTCTCTGGGCAATGATATTTACATAAAGAGAGAAAGAGAAATGAAAATCCTTGTACAGTTTAAGGCAGTGGTTTTGCATCCACTTCCATGACACTGCAGCCTCACAAACACGTGAGGCATGGAAAAGCCAGTGCCACTGTCAGTGCTTGCTTTCACACAAGTAACTAGGCAGCTGGGCAGTGACCTGGATACAGGAACATAAGAAATTAAACTTCTTTATTGTGCTGGGTTAGTTTTAGCTCAGGTTCAGTTCCTCAGTCTGGCTTTTCTCTTGGCAGAAACTACTTAAAAATCATAACAGCAGCCTAAAGAAATACCCATGGAGCCACAGCCTACACTGTGTGTGCGTACACCATACAGAGTGAACGCTGCCGCAACCAGATGGTACAAGTTATGCAAAGGTAGACAAGTGTCCAAATAAAATCTAGTAAGTAACAAAGTACAATGATCATACCTAAATAATTCTGTAATAATTCTGTAAACTATGGAAACTGTGGAGTCTGCTTCTCTCTAGATTTTGTCCTTCGTCCCTGATTTCTCCACCTTGTCCCCCACAAAGCTCCCAACTCCGCCACCATGTCCTGCAACCCTCTGGCTAGTCTGGTTTGAGAGATGTACCATTCCCTTTTCCTAGGTTTGAATCTGGCTTCTAATAGCTACATTTACACTGCAAAAGACTGTGAACCATCAACCTCTTTCCACCCTCTTCATGAAATTATAAATATTTATCATACCCTGCCCTGCAGAGTGCTGGCTAATTAGTTCAAAAGTTCTTTGGGAACAATCAGTTGAAAGGAGTGAATAAACCTCATTTAAGAGGGACTAAAAATGATTCTGCAACACTAAAAAGATCGATATCTAGTGATTGGTTGTAAAGAGCATAACATAATTTGTCTGAGACACACTCCTTACTGCATTTGGCACAATTAGGGGACTCCCATTAAAATAAGTTCGGTTCTTATTTACTACCTGCATGACATTACTCTGTAGGAAAAACAGGCCGAAGGATAGATAGAGAAGCTGGATAACGTCAGTATGCCATGAAACTTAGAACTTGAAAACAAACAGGTGAGACATGAGGCAGGGGAGCAAAGGTGACAGACAGAAAACCTCTGATGGCTACTTGTAGACTTTTCCGACTTAGACTTTTAGGATTATTTTTGATATGGCATTA